TAGTTCTCTGAGAATGTGCCGGCTGATTTAGCCCAGCTAAGCAATTTCGCTAGTACTTGCAAGTAGTACTTGTTATCGTACCTCAACAATAAGTGTAAATATCACAATGATTCGTCACTCCTGTAGAAAGCACTACACATCAATAAAGAAGCACTTACTCGACGGTTTCTTTGAGGAACTTTTTCACTATCTCACGCAGTGGCATTTTATCTGGGTTTGGTGTGAACAATACTCAGATCTAGAAACAGCACTGCGATTAATCATCTCTTGGAGGTTTTCAGCACGCCGCTGCTGGTCCACATTCTCAATGTCAAATCCGGAAATCTAAAATTACCTATTAACATTCCCTCATCCTCACTTATTCCTCAGCTCCCGAGGCTTAGGACTCTAAACTACAAAAGAAAAGTGAACAGTGATTATCGGGTTCTCGTGGAATATCGTATAAGCATAATGCATGAAGATTCACTAGCTTGACAACAATAATATGCAAGGTCACGGCAAACATTCGCACATTTGACAATTAGAATGCTGAACCAAGTGGTATTATTGTAAAGGTCACCTTTTCAACACTAGTAGAAGTCGTTGCGGCGGATAGGTGCTGTACTCCCTTGACCTTAATGGTGTAGTATGAAGAACGGGCCTGTAATTGGCGCTTAAGGTACACATAGTTGTTCGCAAGTGTTAATCGACAATAGTCGCGGAAGAAAATGGTCCAATGGAGAAAAATCAATCGCATTGCGAAATCGTGTCACGTTGACCGCAGGGCACGCCATCGCGTTGTGATTATTTTCCGCTAAATACGCCTCCCCCCTGAATGAGGGGGAGGCGTATTTAGGGGGTTGCGTAGGCTTGTCCGTATCCTGACTTTTTCAAGAGGGAGAAACAGTTAGAAGTTCTACATGAAGTAGCTGATGCAAGAGGAGAAGAACATCGTAACTACGTTGCTCTACAACATTTCTCCCTGGGCCCACACTAAGGTTCTAGCGTGGAAATCAAACAGCAGCATCAGTTCGTTGTGCTTTCTTTCGAGGAATGTTCCATCTGGGAACCTTTCTTACAGTCATTTAGTACAATCACTGGCTGCGGTGGCGGGAAACATAGAACTAATTAACAATGAATTTCAAAATGACACGCTACTCGGAGTGTAGCGCTGATGAAAAACCTCGTCAACAACACAGAAACGACTTCCTTGAGAGTGCTCAAAGATTTCCCAATACATACGAGATGCTCCAGAACTAGACTTCTGCATTACTTTTCTGCTCACTACCTTCATCACGCACCTCTACAACTGACGGGCCTAATTTGGAGCCAAAAAGGAATGTTCGGGGCTGGAATATTTAGAGAAGTTTATGACCGTTAAAGAGCATTATGAAAAGTCAACTCCTTCTAGAAATCTCGTCAATTTATTTTGGGTCTTCTGAGCAACTGGAAAAATCATTGATTGTCGCACTGTTGGAGAATATTCGAAATGCTAGCAAAGACCCAAATGAGCTGCGCTTAGTTTTTTGTACACAAGTAAAGCCACTAAGATGGTATCTCTAATCTTGAGCATCACCATCGGAGTTGTCGTGCAGTGGATCCCTCTGGCAGTACGGCTTTGCTTGCGCAGCAATATTTCCCATTCAAGTGTTTCGAGTGTCTAATGGAGTAGAAAAACAGTATGTTTGGAATCTTTGGAACTCTCGCAGTATACGGCTCCACTTTCGGTTGCTGGGGTTTTTCTCCTGGTTCGATTTACCCCGGTCGGAACGTTATTCCCGTGAAAGGTAAAGTCCAATTCGCGTGAAAGATACCAGTCCAATTCCCAAAGTCGTCGATTGCTTTGAGCGAATCTCTTGCTACTTCGGCCTCCGTACTAACTAACGCATTCACGTTAGTCTTGGAAACGAATATTTTCCGAAAAGTTCTCAAAGTCTTTTCCGTTCTGTTTGCTTGTAGCATATAATCCATTCACAACGCACAGGCTCTTGAGAGGCACATTCCGCACATGTTTTGAGTTTCTCAGTTGACTCATTTCCTCTTCTGTTGGCTTGGCAGCCGTGTGTGAGCAGGTGAAGGGGAGCGAGACAGACGAAGCTTGGATGAGCGGTCGAGATGTGGGAGTGCGCTGCGCAGTTGAGTAAGAGGACGCAGCTGCGTTTGTGATTAGCAGAAAACGTATCAGGTGGTAATGATTGAGGTGAATCTGTGTGAGTGGGTATGTGTGTTCGTTATAGGACCCACAGCGCCTACCGCAGCAGCACTGGCTCGTTGGTTCGCTGGTTTTAATGAGTGGTACAGCAGGTCGGATAGGAAGGTTGATGATAGCGACATTAAATCACATATACAAGGTGATAAAAGGGGCGTTTGGGTGTATCAAATTCACTGTGCTGAACGCTTCGCAACGGTGATGGTTTGTCTAAACAAGTTATAAAAAGGAGCGAGGACACTGATGGTGCGTGAAAGGAAATTATAACAACATATGGTAAAGATGGAAGGCGGTAGATGGAGTTTGTCACCAAGTATATGACGCGTCGAAACGAGAGTATCGCGTTCCTTCCAGTGAGTGATGTACGAAATGGGTGGAAGACACAGTTGACGGGTGATGAAAAGACACGGGTGATGAAAAGACACATTGCTACGATCAGGGCACGTCCGGAGAGACATTTCGAAAAAATGAGACCTTTTCCCCGTTCCCATTCAGCCAACTAATTTCCTAGATCCCTAGATTCTCCCAATTTCGTACCCGTTTTTCCGGAGTTTCCCGAAGATTTCCTAGTCCTTCTAATTTGTTTATTTGTTTATTAGCACTTAACGTGCACCATCGACAGCAGAAAAAAACATGAATATAGAGCATACCAATTCAAAGGCAAACCAAACCGCTGGCAAATCAAACCGAAACAAAAGAAGACATAAACCGTTAGGTATACTATTTAAATGCGGAGGGAAGCAATAAAAGGTCGTACAAGCCAAGTAGAACTCAGGGGAGAGAAGCAATAAAAGGAGGGCGTACAAGCCAAGTAGAACATAGGCAACAAACCGGTCATGCATTAAAAACTTCTTCCCCATACTACACCTCAGCACTATATTAGGGTGAAATTGATGAGCCATGTGGACCTGCGTCAGAGGACGAGGAAACATTGTAGTACATAACTACCGAGTTCATTATGAAAGGATATGCCTTTATACTATAGAAAGACAGAATTTTTCCAGTAAGCAACTAAATCGGTGGGACTAGTTTAGGTATCTAAGAAGAAGGATCAGCCCGAGCAACGCAACTAGCCAGGGCTATTCCGAGGAGGGCCCAAGTAGATACCTCTTTGATCTAAATACGAACCTCAGGCGTAAGACCCTGGCCCAAGTGAACCTAGACGAAATCAGGTCACTTGTTGGTCCTTTGGATCTTATAGTAAGTAATAATAAGCGCCATTCAGTGCTCAAGGCAGGCACACGAACAAGTTGTCCAAGACGTTCCTCTGAGGCAGGGACAATGGCAACATCATAAGCGTGTGCACTGTGGACCGAGGTGTGAAGTATGGGTAAGACATAATAGAAAAGAGAGAACTTAGGCAGAAAAACCGCTCATGCAGTAAAAGCAAAAACCGAAATCAACGAACGTGGAGACAACCATGTGAGAGAAGTGCAAAGAAAAGTATAATTCCTTCGATTCTGGCAAGTTAAGCCCACTAGGTGAATCAGTAACTACGCTAAAGTGGCACTCTCGCTAAAAGTCGCTAACATCCAGTAATGTCATCAAATCTATCTTCCTAAGGGCCATTTGAAAAGTGACGTGTTCTCTTGTTGAATGACATTAATGGGTAGCTTGTTAAGCTAGACGGACGACGGTAGAAAAACGAATTTCTGGGAGTGTTATTTTGGTAGCCAAAACGACCGAAAGATCTGGAATCAGAAATGATATAAGAGGGCCATCTCAAAAACGACGGCTGAAAACGCCAAAAGGTAGAAGGTATAAGACAGGTCTTACCTTTTAGAATTCTGAAAGCGAGCAGTGAGTGGGCTAAGGTTTGCCTATAGAGAAGGCTTCTCATGCCAAGTACTTTAAGGCGAGTATTTTAGGATGGCAAGGATAGGGTATTGTAGGACGGCAAGGATTGAGGGTAGCTCGCATCAAGAAGTGCGCGAAGGTAGAACAATTTAGTGAATGTCATCTGTACTTTCTCAAGCTTTGATACTAGCTTTTTTACTTGTGGGCTCTTAGGCTTAGGCACTACAATTATAGGTTTTCTAGTTCCTCAAAATTTTCCTAACGAGGGGAGGGCGGGAAAGGGAAAATGTGGCACATAATAAACGAGAAAAACCACGAGAAGTCAACAGTCAGCAAAATTTTTTTCTGACGTCACAAATTTCTCTCAAGGACAAATACGACCTCCAACGACCAATACGTTTCCTCCTCCCTTCCTGCTGGGTATCCCCGACGTACGACGGAGGGTTACCAGAGCACACTATGCGCTGAACTTTCACGCTATACTAGTGAACGGTAAGTGTTAGTCAGTGCCAGATATGAAGAAGGTGCTACCACTGTACGTAATAGCAGTGGTCATAGTAACATAGTGAACGTTTTCTTGGCTGTCCACAACATACACCCTGTCCTAAGACACCTGCCAATGTAATATGATTTCAGATGGTCCTATCAAGAAAGAGATGTTTATCATCCAAAGATGACGTCAGTACTGCCATCGTATAATACTTGCTTTCACGAATAGCTACAGCATTTGGAAGGATGACTTGACCGTGCTCTCAGCAGATCACTCCTAGCAAGAGATCGTGTTTGCGCTATGCCAGACGCAACTCTAGAAATGATACCGATAATTTTTGAAAAGAAACCTCCTTAGGGTGAGGTTCATTTCCCATTATAACTTGAGTAGCCAATCCGAAAGAACCATCCCATGGAACCAAATGAAACTCCCTTCGTGCCGCGGGGCTCTAAGTTCGTCTGCAGTGAGTACATCTCAGTCCTACCGAAAGTGACTGCCGCCGATATCTTCATCAGCAGTGACAGGATGGAAGAACTTACAGTGGAACGGGATGAAAAACACAGTACTGCAGAATCATCGAGCGGTAAGTGGATTTTTCTCGAACTACCGTCTAGAATTTTGAGGCAGGAAGCAATGCTACAGATAAGGACATGCAGAACTTAATTCTACCATGACTTCGACTGAATATTCTCCAGCAGTTCAATCCGATCAACAGAACGACCTTATCTCAGAGCAGTCCGACGTCCTTATGACTGCGAAAGGTGTCACTACGCCAACGCTCATCTACAAGAAAGAGTACGCGGAAACGCGGATACAAAAAAGTGTCAAAAATAAACACGTGCCTCCCGTCTGTCAGGATGGGGAAGAAGTAGGAAGGGTTCGAAGAATATGCAAGTGTAAGTTGAAGTCCTTGAAGAAAATCCAATTATATACGCAGAAGCAACTCGATAGGTTCATGTTCAGGGTTTGAAAAGCGCATTGCTGGAGACGGAGGTCATGTGGGCAGGGTACGAAGTATATCTAAATGTGAGTTGACACTCCCTTCGAGCATATAGCTCCACAAAGTCATAGCCTGTTCAGGGTTTGAAAAGAAACACCGCCGTGAATACAGTGAGGGTCGTTCCTTCAGTCAAACTAGGAAAATATATGACAGAAAAGGAACATGTGCGGGATGAATCGATGGCTTCTTCGTCGCTCATCGTACTAACGCTTCATGATTACCATACCTTCGTAATTACCATACCTCAGTCTGGCAATGAAAGTTAAATTACAAAAGTGCATGACTCTTCTACTTCCCAGATAATGCGAAAGTATTAGAGACAGGATTTGCGATCAACCAGCGAAAAGTTTGTAGGCAGCGATGTTGGAAATAGAAGTGTATGTGCTAGCTGACCTGCCTGTTGAGAAAAAAAAAGAGATGAAACCGTCAAATGCTAGGCTAGAGGCATAATTAACGATAATTCGGAATTTGGTCTGGAATGGTAGCGAGGATGATAGATAGTGGGGATAATGGCGAAAAAGCGAAAGAAACAGTCAACCTGCAAAAAAGCCTTTGTTCTATGCGAATCATGAAGCATTTTTGGACGAGGTCCCGCCGAGCCAATCACCTCTGCGGTGGATACGGGTGCATGGTAATATCTCCATGCAGCGGCTTCATATCCTACTATATATAATCCGCTAAGCGTGCGTTTGTGGGTGTGTGTTTGTGTGTGTGTCACGAAATTCATAGCGCCGGTCCCAGTAGCGCTAGGAAGTTGCTTCCAAGTTATGATATGGGGGATGGGACGGGAACACTTTTGGTGGGTGACAGGAGGTGACAACACCTGATAAGATCCGATAAGGGGCCTTAGAAGGGGAGGGTGACCGAATTCGTGGCAAGTTGCAGCAACTGCGGGACCTCGGTTTCAAGCAGTGATATGCCGTAGATGGGGGCTGACAGGAGCTGACAACATCTGATAAGATCCGATAAGGGACCCGACGCGGGTGTCACCAAATTCTTAGCGCAGGTTGCAGCAACCGTGGGACATTGATTTCGAAAAGTGGTGTAGAGGAAAATGGATTGGTGTGTGACAGAAGCTGATAACATCTGATAAGATTTGATAAGGGGACCTTAGACACGGAGGGTCACCCAATTCCTAACATCCGCTGCAGTGAATTGAGGCTCCTAGATGGTGTACAGGAGGGACGGGGTGGGTGACAGAATCTAATAACATATGATAAGAATTGATAAGGGACCTTAGATGCGTTGGGCCACCAAATTCGTAGGGCAGGTTGCAGGGTCTGTGGGACCTTGGCTCCAAGAAGTGGTATAGGAGGAGGGGCGGACACCCTGACGGGTGAGACTAAGTGACTGATAAGAAATGAAAACCTCATCATGCGGAAACTCGCAACACCGCTTACATCTACCATGCGAATGATATGATCCAGGTGTCAGGCTCCCAGTAGTTTGCACACAACTCATTCCTGGGCTTTATCGTTGTTGACATCATGTACGGCCGCTAAAGCAACTGGAGTTCAGAAGCATGGCGGTTGTTTACTCAGTTGGCATGAAGCAGCAACTGGCTTTATCACTATGTCTATGACTATCTTTCATCAACAATCTGAGTGAGGACCATTCGAAGCGCTAAACTGCCCGAATGCGGGAGTCCCGTACAGTGGTGGAGAACGCATTCAGCGGTAGGATGCTTCAAAGGCTGCTCTAACAGGATCTGAATTTTCGTGTGAAGGTTGTGGAGATTTTTGGTACTAACTCTGATAAAAGAGTGGACCAAAGGATAGATTTCAGCGCTACATTGGGACAACGGTTAAAATCCTACCATATATAATCGGCTGTGTCCGTGCGTGTGCGTCCGTCTCTTTGACACGAATATCACAGCTCCGGTTCAACTCGCTGATCCAACTTTATTCCATTGCTCTAGCTATTTTCAACTATTTTTTTACATTTTGTTGGAAAATGAACTGTGACGGTTTAGCGTATTTTGCACACGCCAGGCGGGCCCGGCTTCGCCGTGCCGTGATAAAGAAGGAGGAGCACCCGGCGACAGCCGGGTGATCCGACTGGTTGTATAATACTTCACCAATAAAGCGATAAGAGCAACAGCACCGGCCGGACATTATGGGCGGGCAGGTCGGTATGTTGCAATGAGGGTATTGCATAGCTGTGAAGGAACATTCTTTGGTACTCTGGGGCACGAATTCTGTCCTGCTGGTCGTATTGATCCTGCACGTTCGTTCTTATCGTGCCACTTGCTTCCAAGGCCGCACTTTTGCCAAACGAATTTTCAAGAAATGATGTGGGTAAAACGGGAGGCCCGAGAAAGCAGCGAGAGAGCATGTAAACGAGCAAGGCAGCAGATGAGACATCTATCGAATCACTTGAGCAACCTTGCGCCTTATCGCCGCTACCTTACCACTTGTGAACGTGAAACTTATACAGGGCTGCTCGTGAAGCTAGACAACCTCTCTCTGCAAACAACTTAGATAATTACAATGATCAAGGGCTCTGCCTATGATGGTGAATGTGATGGTAAAAAATTATCTCGTTGCGCATGTCACAGTGGTTTAGAAAACTGCTGGAAAGCTGTCACGGAGGTTCCAAGAAATGTCGGACTAACATTTATACGTTACCTATGGAACATCCGTTGACTGGGTCCACAAATCGGTGTGCAGATACTAGTGTGAGAGTGATACCATCGTCACCCGGGCAGTTGATTAGGGCGGTCGTCAACGGGCCGCAGCGCGTGCAGGAACTATTTGCTTTTTCCAGGCTAATTTAGTCATTTTTTCGCAAACTTTTCACTGTATTGGCTCCTTTTTTCCAGATAAGGCAGCTCTTATCTTACAAGGTGGAAAAAAATGACTAAATTAGCCTGGAAAAAGCAAATAGTTCCTGGCACGCGCTGCGGCCCGTTGACGAGTGATCAGGGGGCATGGGGATGTGCGAAATGGCGGTGTGAGTACGATCCCCCTTCGAAGAGGTCCAGCTACGACCGCGCAGGTCCAGTTACGACCCCCCCCCCCTCAGCTCTAGCTGACCGAACAGATGCATGTTTACCACTAAATGGCTTCCTGATATGGAATGTGGATTTTCGAAAAGGCGGACTGCTCTAAAATTCAGGCAATAATAGGCTGTTTCAGCCTCATGCAATTATGAGGCTGAACAACAGCCTCGCATTACCTACAATTTTTGTCTTAGGATTCAAGAATAAAACTCGTCGTTCGACAGCCATGGTATGACATGCAAGATTTAACAAGGGAACAAACCGAAAGCACGCGGCCATGGTGATCATTAATAAGCCAAGCAGGTGAAAAAATAGCCCCAGGTCAGCGTGTTGAGCCCCAGATGTGCATTCAATGAATGGTGATCAAAATCCTGAAGTTTCCGAAGGTGTAAGGATTACACCTTCGGAAACTTCAGTGTGCCTTCAAAAACATATATTTTCGCCCTCAATGAGTGAAAGAGGAGGTCGGCTATCACTGGTCCTATTGGTTCCGAGTGTGCGCCGTGTATCAGCTCCTACGCAGAGGTGGGGAAAGGTGTAAATTCTGATTTCATGTGTTTTTATTCATGCAAGCAGATGTTTGTTTAGGGTTGAAAGGATATATACGCACGAATCTGTTTGAGACGTATTAATTCAGTCATTTACGTATCCATGCTATCCTACTCTATATAATCCCGCTAAGTATGTCTGTCCGTGTGTGTGTGAGTGTGTATGTTTGTGTGTGCGTCCGTCTGTGTGCCACGATGATTCATAGCGCCTGTCCGCCAGTAGCAGTGAGACCATGGTTTCAAGAGGCGATGTACGGGGTGTGACGGGAACACTATTGTAAGGTGACAGGAAGGTTGTATCAATTGATAAGATTCGATAAGGGGCTGTAGAAAGAGGAGGTCCTTATAAACGCAAGTGACAGGCATGCAGCCTGCTTCGCGATCTTAAGATAATATGATATAGAGGATAGTCCAAGAACATCATTCGCGGTCACAAAAACTGTAAGCTGCTGATAAGATTCGATAAGGGGCTAGAAGGAAAAGGTTACCATATTCACAGCGCAGGTCACAGCAGCGCAGTCAGCTCTTGATTTCGAGATATGATATGGGATGAGGGCCAAAATCATTATTGGTGGGTAACAGAAGGTTTTGTGAGCTGCTGATAAAGATTCGATAAGGGACGTTAGAATAGTGAGGTGATCGTATTCATAGCGCAGGTCACAGTATACAATCAGAGGCGTGCGTTTAAGCGCGATGCGTTTCAGCAAGTGATATATATGAGTGAGTTGGGAACAACAACCTTGGGTGACTAGAAGCGATAACTACTGATAGGGGAGGATAATGGAGGTTTGGCAGTCGTCCGTCCTGTTCAAAGGCGGTTCACACGCTTCCAATCATAGAGATTTAGTGATGAGGACATTGATGACGGGTGACAGGTAATCTTATCAATCGATAAAAAAATTGATACCACCATACCATCTGCGCACTCTCAACCGCCTTAATGCCGAGTATTCGACGCTCAGATTTGTGAAATTTGCCTTTGGGCCACACTTTCCTGATAACACTAGAAAAATGAACTCATCCCCACATCCCACTATCCTACTTATATAATCCGCTAAGTATGTCTGTCCGTGTGTGTGTGTATGTTTGTGTGTGCGTCTGTCTGTGTGTCACGAAATTCAATAGCGCCTGTCCAGCACAGTGAGACCATGATTTCAAGAGGTGATGTACGGGGTGTGACCGGAACACTATTTTGGTAGGTGACAGGAAGTTGTATCAATTGATAAGATTCGATAAGGGGCTGTAGAAGAGGAGGTCACTATATATCATAACGCAAGTGACAGCATCATCTGCTCTCACGATCTTAAGATATGATATAGAGGATAGTCCAAGAACATCATTAGCGGTCACAAAAACTGTAAGCTGCTGATCAAGTATTCGATAAGGAGGCGTTAGAAGGAAAGGTCACCCATATTCACAGCGCAGGGTCAACAGCAGCAGTCAGCTCTTGATTTTCGAGATATGATATGGGATGAGGGCCAACATCATTATTGGTGGGTAACAAGAGCTTGTGAGGCTGCTGATAAGATTCGATAAGGGACGTTAGAATAGTGAGGTGATCGTATTCATAGCGCAGGTCACAGTATCAGCGAGGCGTGCGTTTCAGCAAGTGATATAGAGAGGTGA